GCCAGTGCTGCGACAGAGGTCTCGCTTGGCCCATCAAAGAACTGAAGGCGATCCGGTGTCTCCAAGAACTCCAAGTCCGACCGGCAGATTGATTGGTGGAAGGTAGTTGATAGCATGTTAACAGCATATGTTGGAAGCATATGTTGTAAAAAAACATGTCAAAAACTCATAAACTCATAATGCGCCCCATGTATATTTTGGCACATGGCGGAGTTGGTTGAGCGGCTTGTCCTTCGCTGGGTCCCAGGCCTTGGGCCATGTTAAGATCAGCCAGGTGGCTTGGGCCTCGGTTCATATCCGAACAAAGGGTGTCCACTGAAGGTTTTGCACCAACCAGCCTGGAAAGGATGTATTCACTGGGAGCCGTTTTGGCCAGCCTTCCCTGAGCTTTGCAGATTCTGCGGCTGAAACCATGGAGCTCCTATGTTTGGTGCTGGGCGTTTGGGTCTTGTGGCTCGTTTGGGCGATCCAAACGTGGTGGCTTCATTTCTCGAAACGACTTCCGCGCTCCGACCCCTCATGTCCCAGTCGTGGGCCCCGGCCCAAGCTAGGGCAGAAGCCCTCAGCCCTGAATTTTGGGTCTGCATTGCCTGCACTGCCAGTCGCTGCGCCTGAGACACCGGAAACCTTCACTTTGCCTGGGGCAGCCCATGGTGCCAACGACACTGCGCAGGCGGATCACACCATTGTGTAAGCCTTCAGATCGATAGGAGCCTTGGGTTCCCAGAGGATGAAAACTGCGCCACCACTACCCTTGGAGAAGAAGCGCTGCCCAGTGCTTCTGGGAAGAGCCTGCAGAGCTGCCGGGGAGTTCGGTGCCGGTGCCCTTGGATATGAATCATGTCTCTCTAGGACTCTGGCAATACCTTTGGGCAGCCCATGCAATTGCCATAGTGGCTATTGGCTTGGTGATGTTGGGATGGTGCCAAATCCAAATGTCTCGGCTCTTGAAGCTGCTTGGCTCCCTGAGGCTTCAGAGATAGATCTGCGGCGCATGATCTACCACCTAGTGTTGGAGAACTTGTGCACCGGAGTTGCTGACATTGAAGGCACTGAAGCGGGCAAGGTGGCCACCTTCGTCTTCAGCCCTTTTCCGCTCTACCTAGACCAAAAGTTTCAGGTGTTGAGTCATGTGAAGACCAGCATGGTGGTCAAATTGAATCTTAGCCGGGAAGACTTTGTGCATGCTGAGCTTGATGGAGATATTTGCAGCCTGACTGATGCTGCAGTGTTACTGGCCCACTACGTGATCAACGTGAATCATCCCAGGATGCATGCCTATGCCAACTGGGCCATCGACCCGGCAGACCGTAGCAACCGATACCTGCAGAAAATGAGTGTGGTGACGACGTGCTACAATCACTATGGGTGCACCAACTTCCCGCAGATGGCCAGCAACATGGTGCATCAGGGTGCAGGGCCTGCCGTTGCTGCATGCCTCAAGGAGTCTCTGAGGAGTGGTGTTCCCGAGCACAAGCAAGTCTTGGCTCTGGGAGAACATTCCAAGCTCTTGAACTTCATGATTAAGTTGAGGCTACCGAAATCAAGCAGGCATTCAGTGCAGAGAGGAATTCCCAGCTACAGTTGTGAATCCCACTTTTTGGGGACTGTCGTGGACCACTCCTTGGACCTTACGCAGCACGGTGCTGCTTGTGTTTTGCTCGCTGCTGTGCCCTGGACGACATTCCAACGGCCTTGAGAAGTACTTCAAGGATACTTGGCCATGCTTGTTATATGACTTTTCACTTTCCCAATAACAAATCCCATTTTATCCCATTTTCATTAATATTCTTATGGAGTGTATGACATTATGAGGAATATGTGTTTTCTCTTTTTTGGGTGCTCATAAGCAAATCCAAGGACGGCAAAACTCAGTTCCACAGGATGGTTTACTCTGCTGCAAAGGATATGGATGAGACCTTCGCAGACGAAATTCAGACGTGCATTGTGAAGTGATGCGCATTGAAATTCAGATTGTTCAGTTGCGTATTGTTGCGTATTGTTGCGTATTGAGTTTGGCCAATTCTCAATCTGTTTTTTTGAATTGGCTGGACATTTGTGTCCCAAATTAGTGCTTAGTTTGTAGGCGATAGCTTGCTAAACTGCATTTGTTACTGTACCAGCCACGTGTATAGGTTGTCAATTCGCTGTTTTTTTTTTTCGTTTTTGATCATTTTTGTCCCAATTTTGTGCTAAGCTTGCAGGAGCCAAGCTCGCGCAATTGTCAACTTGTTCTGATTTGATCCGGGACCGGTGCACTTTTCTGGATCTTGACCGAGTTGATCGCGGTGATCTCGGCGCCCATGTTTTGATCATTTTTGATCCCTCACAAAGGGGCCTTTGCTCGCGAGATTCAACGCAAAAAGTTGGCACGTTGCTTTTCGGTTGGCGTGATCCCATGAGTCCTGTAGCTCCGGGGGATCCATCCTTGACTAGATGGACAACTGATGGATCAATGGGAGATCTCCAGGATACAGATGGAGGTCGTATTTACGTACCATATTTCTGGCCATATGAATTGGGGGTATATCCCCTGAAATTTAGGCCTGATAATTATAGGCATTATATATGGAATCGGTACCTCCATTTTAGGATCCTGAAATTTCCATTGATTATAGATGGATCAATCACTAAACATATGTAGATTATGTAGTCTACATAAGGTAGTTTTGCATCAACTTATAGACAGAAAACCTGTCGGAGCTTCTGAACATGCCAACATCTGCGACAAAATACATCCATCAAGCTGAGGCATGAGGGGTCTCTGCATTGGACAAGGCCCTGGGGCCATGAGCCTGACCACTTCGGCGCTTGGAGGCCCTGTTGAACTGGCAAGAGCCAGGTGAATTTGGGGAACTGATTTAGATCTATATATTTAGATATATTTAGACATATTTAGAGATATATTTAGATATATCTAGATATATTTAGATCCGATTGATTCTGGTGATTGATTGTTTCACTGTATGTATTGCATACTAGCCTGCGTCTGCTTCACAGCGATAGTTATGATTGTTAAAGTTAAAATTCGTGAAACCGTTCAGAAAAGCGGCCCACCCGAAGGCCACTGTACACCCATCGGCGTGACATTTCTAGGACAAATCACGTTGAACATGGGCACTGCATGGCTGGTTCAAAGACCTTTGTTTGATGTGTATTGATTTGTTTCCCAGAAATCGTAGGAAAAGGCCCTGGAAGTCTGCACACATCCGGTTTCGTTCCCTGGCTTCACCCTGACCAGTCTTGAAATGCGAAGCGGTGTCCAAAAAGATTACGACAGATTCATGGACATGTGCCATAGAAAAGACTTGACTCGGGGTTGTGAAACTGTTTCGGGTGTCATAGTCTAACCTGGATCGTCAAGACCATAGTATGAAAGCTGGTATGATCATACGTTTCCGTACCCAGAAGCATTTGTTTTGATCGTAACACATTCTGGGAACCGGGAAACCCATGGGTGAAGTTGCGCAGTTTGCCACTGGCGAGGCTCTCTGAGTGTCTCCAAGGCGCAAACCTAAGATGCAGTGCAATACAGTGAGCCATGAAACTCAAAATTGGCTCTATCAGTATCCCACTATTAAACCTTATCAATGGGAACTTCTGTGATGTGCTGGTGTTTCCTCAAGATAAAGAGAAAAGAAACTTTTTCCATTCCTGCAGGCATACGCAGGCATACATCTTGGAGGTTTGGAGACTACTTTTCCACTGTGTCTTTGTGTGGGTTCAGTCGTACAACTCAGCGTTTTTTTAGTTTGAAGCTTCACAAAAGTCTTCCGACTTGGCTCAGAAACCAAGGCGCATTTTGCGGCAGCCTACCACACTGCGCGCCAGCAGAGGTCAGCTCGTGTTGCTGCATGTGTTAAATGAAAGGGCACATGTATAGGTGCTTCGTCCCTTTCGATGGAGTCTTAAAGCTCGGCGATTTCGAGGTGTCCATCAGTGTGATAGGACTTCCCGTCCTGGAAGAGCGTGGAAACCAAGCATCAAGGACTGGGATTCGTATGACTGATGGGATCTATCTATCTATCTATAGGGGGGGTACCATATATATATAATATGTATAATACACACATATATATATATATAATGTATATATATATATATATATATTTGTAGGATATTTGAAGATGTAACGTATTGTAGCCATTTAGCAGTGGCTTCCCTTTTGAAGGGTTCTCTCAAGTGGTTGTGGTGGTTACGTTGATGTTTACGCTTTTCATTGTCTTGGAATTGTTGGTTTGGTATGGTTTGGTCATTTTGCATCTTTGGTGGCCTTTTCTCAAGACTGAAGTGTTTGCATTCTGCTGTGCTACTCACTTTGATATGAAACCCAACCCACTCAAACAACACATTGAGAACAAAACAGCCACATGTCATGTTTGCACAAGAATGTGTTCGTCAACCGTGTGTTGATGTAGGAAGACTGCAATTAATTCGTGCCGCTGGACAGCGCAAAGCATTCGTTGCCTCATGTCGGTTTCTGTGGATATTCCTGGACATGGTTGCTTTGATATCAAACTGACTGCTTCGAGCACCGCTGCTGACATTATTTTACTGCTACGTGAGCGTTTGCCAGACAGCCCATGGCATGGGAACAAGTTGCTGTCAAGTGGGGTCTGCCAGCTACAGTGCGATGACATTGTGGAGGCAACCCACCGCAGCACTTTAGTCTTGACAAACTACTCAGAGATCACCAACCAGGAGACAAATGTGGATCCGTGTTCCTTTTTTTGGCAAACAGGCGATATAACCAATAGGATCAAATAGAATAAAGAGAAAGTGTATCTTTAGAAGTCAATCTTTTGAATTTCAGAGATTGCAGGCCCATTATTCCACCTTCGCTATTGCATAATGCTTCAATTGAATTCGATTCCAATTTCATTTGCTGCATTTGTTGGTGCGCCCCACACACGTCGGAGGAGGCTTTCTGCATCAAAGATACTGCAGAGCGAGGGATCACGCGCGAGCAATTGGCGAAGATCGTTGCTTTCATCTCCAAAATGGCTGACAGATGGTGCGAGACTTTCGGAGAACAGTGTGGGACAAGGCTGCAGTTTGAGACCTTCAACTTGTATCATGCGAATCATTGGATCATCAAACCAGCCACCGAAGCCTGGATCTGTTGATGATGTGACAACATTTTCCAATTTGAAGAATCTACCGTTTTTTTTTTTTAATTGGCAACATTGTGCAGAATCCCAGGACGGCTATGCGAAAAAGGGCTGCAGCATGGTTGAGATCATGGCGATTCAAGTGCAGAGACCTCACTGGTTTGTGTCACATGCTTGGATCGAGCCTTGGATAGGCAAACTCTGGAGGTTGTTTGAGACCGTGCTATTGCATTGTCTGTCAGCAACAAGTTACTTTTTCCGCTAATAATCCACATTCCCCTAGAAGCCTTGGTTGAGTTTTGGACTTGTTCATTTCGGAACCTCAATAGGATGCTGTATCAACAAGAAATGAACATCCAGCGTAATGATAGATGAAAGTCAATCCATTGCTTTGAAGCACGTCCAATTTTGTGTTGGGCAGATCTGTGAGGAGCCTGTTTGTAAGTTTCTGGCCTGCTTGGAGCAGCATGCTCTGGTGCGAGAACTCTCAAGCAGTACATTCTATTGGGTCTGTGCATATGCCAATAACCAGCACTGCGTGGAAGAGGATATCAAAAGCAACCCACGCAGCACTTCATTCTACAGAGCTATGCAGATGTCTGAGGGAGTTCTTTTGGTGCTGGATTCAGCTGGAACGCCTTTCGAGGGTTTTGACTACAGTCGCAGGGTTTTGACTGGTGCTGCAGTGGATGGCAGGGTCACAGAGCGCTTTGGTTCTGCTTTGAGTTGTGAATGTGGATTGCGGTCTCCTGATCGAGAACATCTCCCTTTTCACTGCCAAGCGCAGCCATGGGATGGTGAGTTCAGGAGCGCTACTGAACGTCGTTTGCTGGTTCCACTTGTGGATGCTCCTCCTGTGTTGCCTTTTTCCAACATGGTTGCAGATCCTGCTTTGGTTACTTTTATTCAGCAATTCGATTCTCTTCAGCGACCCACCTTGGGTTTGGACGGCAGTTGTATCATAGCTACTTCCTGTGATCGATGGCAAAGAGCTAGCTGGGCGGTTTCGACACTTTCAGGCACCACTGTTCAAGGTGCCGTGACTGGTTTTGAGCAAACACCTGCTGCAGGTGAGCGTGCTGCTCTTCTGCAAGCCTGTTTAGCCTCTTCTGCAGCTAACAGACCGGTGATGCTCTTGATTGACAATCAGGCTTTGGTGCGGCGGCTTCAGCGAGGCATTAGCACTGGCCGTTGGGAGGGTGACTTGCCGCTTTTCTGGCAGCGGATCAGCGGCTTATTGATTCAGGGCACTGTTTGAATTTGGATCCCTTCTCACAACAAGGTGCCCGACTGGACACCACCAGATGGTTGGATTGATGTTCATCTCTGCCGCGTTCTCAATGCGACAGCCGATGCTCAGGCAGGTGAGGTGTTGCGTGACTCACGCTCCATGATCGCTGCGGCTGTGCAGCGACATCAGCGAGCCGTGGCTTGGGCTGCAGCAGTTTGGCGTCTGCAGCGGCTACGGACTTTACCTTTTTGGCAAGTCGTACTTGATCAACAAACATTCCTTGCGGAATGCTAGCTGGCGCACTGTGTTTACTTCTTTTTTCAGGCAGGTTTCGCTTCTTTTGTGTTTTGCTCGGAGAAGTATGGGAACTTGATTCTCGCAGATGGCATACTATGGCGTCTTAACTACTTCACTTCGGTGAGGAGCAGGTTGACGTCCGCTTACAACAACAACAACAACGCCTTTCGAAAGGATTTGGTGCTGCTTCGAGGAAGCCATGGCCACAGCCTTAGAAATTCCTAGAAGTGCGAGAAAGCATCATAGAACGAGAAAAATGTGACATGAACGTGAGTTTTTTTCGTTTGTGAGTTCTGCCTGAAGGGACACGTTTTGATTTGTCCAGCTAGCAGCTAGCTTGTTTCAGTGCAAAATGCGATTTGCATTCATGTGAATGTGGTATAACGAGCAGGAGCAACACCAGGTCATGTTCGTAAAGGCAGGCAATGCTTCAGTAGATAGTGGATCGAAGGAGACACTGGTGAAAACACACCGTATTTTCACCCTAAAAGCGACGAAGGCGATCGAACATCGAGAGGGCAACTGGTCCAGACGACGTTTACTGCTTGATGTGGGAGCCACTGACGCATATGACAAAGCTACTCGACACAGAAGGGGTGGCCTTGTGTGGACATTTCCTTTGCGTGGTCTGCTCGAAAGGTTGAGACCATCGCCTCTACCATAACCCCCATTTCTGCACCATTGTGAACCTTTTCACATAACCTCGCTGTAAGCCTGCCTTTCCATATATCTTCGTGTTTGCGATTATCATGAAGATTCCATGGTAGTGGATTGCACACACGCCAGATGCAACTTCTAAAGAGGTGATAAGTGAAAAGTGATGTCTTGACCGTTCCAAATTTGTTGATCTCTGAGGCTCACGTGCTTACTGATGGACTTGCCGGAGCGGAAAGTCGAATGATTGGCATCATCGGCTTGCACCACAAAGCAGCTCGTGAGCGTCACTTTCCTCTGGACCTTTTAGAAAAGGGCTTGAAGGTAAAGATTGAAGAAACTTGCTGCGGGATTGCAAGAAACTTTTGCTGTTTTGACGTTGTTTGGAGAACCGTTTTATGCATTTGGACGATCGATTGAATTGACAAGGTCCATGGTCCATTGTTCATATTGTTCCATTTGCATTGTATGTATGTCACCTCGCACAAATGGCTCATTCTAATTTAAGTTCTCTCTTTTTCCAGAAGGTGTCCGAGCCATAATCATGAGTTTGAATGTTGGACGGCTCAAGGAAGCTCATGCCACGCAGAACATCGACAAAGTTCGTATACTGAACAGCATAGCTCTTTCTCGTCTTGGAACTTATGACTTTGAGCTTTTGCAGTCGTACCCCGCTGGGGATCCGAATTTCCAGCGAGTAGATGAAGCTCTTGCGTCGCACTTCGCTTTATGCAGCTGGTACGGATTTGTCCTTCAAGGAAGATGCACTGAACTCCTGGCCAGAGCTGTAAAGGCAGACGTTGGTAGAAAGATAGTGCAGCTTTCACTGACTGGGTGCCAGAATTTTTGTGACCATGAGCTTGACGTGCTGATCGAAAGCCTTCCTGCAGAGTTGCGCGTCTTGCGATTGGATCTGGGATTCTCGGGTCTTGAGACTCTGGACATGTTCACATCGACGGTGCAGTGTTTGAAATCTTTGGTCCAGTTGAAGTTGCGCTTCACAGGTTCCTCGCACTTCAGGACTGCGGCAGGGCTTGGAGTTGCCCTGAGGGAGATGGAGAACCTCATGTACCTCGAGCTATGGTGCGCTGAGTTGTGAATTTCCAGTCACATTTTTCTTCATCTTGAACCAGCAAAAAATATGATTTTCAGCTTATTGTTTGCTGCGCTTTCAAAGCTTTCTTTTTGATTCCATGGACATGATATTGTTATTTTGATTTTTCTCAGCTGCCACGGTCCAGTGGCTGCAGGTTCATGAACTTGCCATGTTTGGAAGAATTCGGATGCTTCAGTTCAGCTTTGCAGTCGTTGCGAAACCTGGAGAGTATAGTTATTGATCTCAGTGGATGTGGCCAGGTGTCGATTGATGCGAGGATGGAACTTCACCAATCCATTAAGTCACTGAAATGGTTGCGAAGCAGCTTGGACACTTGGGTGAACATTGAAGGTTTGCCAAAGCGAAGCTGGTTCCCTGGATTTGCTCATGTTGATTTTGGCAGTGTTATCAAAGCACGTTGCGCCCGGAGCTTCCGTTTCATCTGGCAACGGATGCGACAACTCAGTGCCCGCCAGCTGCCACACGTCAGCTCAGTGTACTTTGAGCCAACCAGGTTTGGCAGGTCCAGTGCCACAAGCAGTGATGAATCAGCTGGAGAAGATGCAGAGACAGAGACTTACAGCACTCAACAGGAGATGTTTGATGAAAGCAAACCGTTCCCATGCAGCCATCCTTCATGTCATTCTTTTCATTCTTCTGAGAGCGGTTATTGTGAAAGGCACCACTGGGTGGGCCTTGGCAGAAGGATTTGCGTTGCGGTAAATGGTTGGCGCCAGAATGTGGAGCTTAGTGTGCTGATTCTTGCACAAGCAGTGGCAGAGGTAGAGAGCCGATTTTTGTTGGTTCTTCTGGTTCTCAGCCTGTTGCCCGTTGCAAGTTATAGCTTTTCTCAGTCAGCAGGGGTGTCTGGCACGTTGATTTTTCTGATTATTATCTCAATTGCAATTGTCAGCATTGTTTACACCACAGCTCGGCTCAACAGAATGCAAGAACTGTCAAGGAGGCTTGAAGTTGAATCGGAAGCTTTGTATGCAAAGAATTTGCAGAATGACATGTCCAGGCTTTTTGGTGATTGGGGTAGAGACGATATTGCCCAGCCTCAAGTCACAAGCTTGACGGAACACTTCGTCGAAGCCAGAAAGCATCTTGATGACTTCGACAAGAATCTGTGCCTTCCACTGCGAGAGTTCTTGGAGGAGCAGCCTGGTTCCATATCTCGGCAAGATTTACGGCCTGTATTGATGACACTGCCGATGGCACAAGAGGCTGTCGTGCGAGAAGGTGGATGGGACAAAATCTTAGATCTCTTGTATTGCGATGTAATCTTCGATGATTGGGAAAGAATGCTCAGTGCGTGGTCCTTTCTCAAAACCAGAGCAGAGCATGACGAGTTGAGAGAAATCAAGATCGTGCGTACTCGCGATTCTTTTGCTTCCGTCCAAGCTGGTGTCAGATGTGCCGAGATGGTGGTCAAGATCAACCACTATTTAGCCACGATCCGTTTCCTTGAAGCCTCCTTGACAAAGCTGGAAAATCAAGTGGATGATGTGCACCACTTGGCAGAACAGGTGGGACTTCTGGCAGGCGGTTTGCAGGTAGATCCTTTGCTTATGTCTGGGCGACCAGCACAGCAATTACGATTGGTAGTCGTAGTTGTTGCTTTGCTTCGGATCAGCTCATTACTTGCAGCAGTGTACCTTGGGGGGCAATACTTTGTGCGGTACAGCCCACCTTTCATCCGTTCCAAGCTTCCACAATTGATCCGAGATGCTTTTGCTCTCAAGCAGACGGTTGAGCCCAGCGATGGGACATTGCCGGAGGCTGTCGCTGCTGATTCTGGATGGTTGGAGGAGAGCCTTTCGCAGCTGTTGCCCTCCATTGTTTTCTCTTTGCCGTACCTGGCCTTGATCATCGTCCTCCTGAGCGACCTGCGCCGGTGTCGGTCAGCCAATCTCAAGTTGAGGCCGCTGAAACCCACCCAGCTGCTCTACGAGGAGTATTTTGGCATTGAAGGCAAGCTCTACGGCTTCAAAGTTGCAATGCTGCAGTTATTCACAGTGATGCTACAGGCCTTTGGAAAGCTCCAAATCATGGGTGGCCTTGTGTCCTTTGCATTCCATTCAGCTCCGAAGCATTCAGGTGCATTCGAAAGATGCTTTTGGACTTTTATGGGTTTCCTGTGTTTGAACAGTATCTATCCATCGACTTTGTTGGCCTTCCCTTCTGTGAAGCGGGTGCGGCGTGGTGCTGCCATGATGGATGCAGTTCTTGATATTGCTTACACCAGCACATACCTCATCATCACCTTGCTGGCCATCCACGAACTACAGCTGGGCCAAGCCATTTCAGGAAATTTTGGGGATGAGGCTTCGGTCAACTTCCAAGCAGAGTTGGACCCGGCATTTGCATTCCCAGCCGACTTTTTTGGTTTCTTTGCTGTCTACTATTCACTTGCACATGTTTGCACCGTTTGCCGTGCCTTGGAGCGGAGCGATCGACTGACATACTGGAAGAATTTGCAAAGCTTACCGAACTCTGCTTCCCGGTCGCTGCTGAGCCCATCGAGATTTTCTTGCTCAAAGAGATACCGGATTTGTTGCAAAGCGTTGCATTTTTGCTGCATTGGTTTCGTTTTATGTTGTTTCTGCAATTTTCAATCCATCGTGGTTCCGCAACCTGTTGACACAATTTATCATGTGAGTATCTCGAATGCCCTCAACATATTTGTACTGAGGAGGCGTCTTGTTGTTCTCAGCTTTACTGTACTTGCTGCACCCTTTTGTGCGTCCTAAAGCATACACCACTTCTAAAGTTGTTGTTCCCCAGCATCAACAGCTTTGCAATCTCAGCCAAGGGGGTTCCAGGGCTTTTGAAACGTTCCACTTCTTAGGAGTTTCACACGAGGTTCATTCCAAGTATTTCAGGGTTTCCAGGGTTCCAGGATTCCACAGTTGCAAGGTGCTGTCGGGTGGCATAGTTCCAGGAGTCCCAACAAAGGCACTCGCGAAGTAAAAAAATGGATATACCTATATCATACCGATATTTTTAATGTCAATCCCCTTGAGAGTTGGTTTCTGGAATGGCCCCCTTTCACAACATCGGGCTTTGATGGATGAACTCGAGTTCTTTGTTTCTCCTTGCAACCATTGCTCAGGTATTCGCCCTGTTTGCTTGTCACGATCGTTGCTCTGCTGGTTTCGTCACACTTCTACCCGATTCACACGGCTGATTTCGGATGCTTTCCGTGCCGCTGTCACCAAAGGGATCATGGTGCAAAGCACCTTGCAAGCTGCAGCCTTGTAGGTGTTCTGAGCCTCAAAGATGTGAGTTTGAGCGAACAAAACATCACAAGTGTTGCAGACGATGCCTTCGCTTCTTCAAGGTGCTTGCAACGGTTGTCGCTCTCTGCGAATAGGTTGCCTGTTTTGCCTAAGGAGATGTTCGCTCCTTTGGACAGCTTGCAATTGCTGGACTTGGGCCGCTTGGGTTTGAAGCACTTAGAGTCTGACACATTTTCTGGGTTGTCAAGTTTGAGAATCTTGTCCCTCAGCCAAAATCGTTTGAACGTGTTGCCAAAAAACTTGCTGCGCCCCCTGCCAGCGCTGGAGCAATTGTTGCTGGGGGGTAAATCTGATGAGAAGGGCAACCGGATCATTGATGGAAATGAACTGAAAATACTTCCGCAAGAGCTTTTGCAGCACAGCCCGCGGCTACAAGTTCTCGATCTCAGCGAAAACAAGTTGACCTCGCTGCCACACAACTTCCTTGATAAAATTCCTTTGTTGGAGACCCTCGACCTTGGTTCAAACAAGCTGGCTGATTTGCCAGGCGAAATCTTTTCAGGGCTCAACAAACTGCAGGAGCTCGTCCTGCGTTCGAACGAACTCAGCGAGTTGCCTGCTGAAGTCTTTGCAGGGCTCAGCAGCTTGCAAAGCCTCGACCTGGGGTCCAACAAGCTTAGTGAGCTACCTGCTGAAGTCTTTTCCGGGCTCGGCAGGTTGCAGGAGCTCGACCTGCATTACAACTCGCTCAGTCAGTTGCCTGCTGAAGTGTGGGCCCATCTCTTCGCAGGTCTTAGCAACTTGCGGAAGCTAGACCTGGAGTCCAACCAACTCGGCGAGTTGCCTTCTAAAGTCTGGTCCAAATCGTTTGCAGGGCTCAGCCACTTGCAGGAGCTTTGGTTGGGCGCAAACGATCTCAGTGAGTTGCATGCTGGAGTCTTCTCAGGGCTCAGCAGCTTGCAGAAGCTGTACTTGACTCAAAACGAGCTCAGTGAGTTGCCTGCTGAAGTCTTCTCAGGTCTCAGCAGCTTGCAGAAGCTCAACCTGGGGTGGAACTCGCTCACTCGGTTGCATGCTGGAGTCTTTTCAGGACTCAGAAATTTGCAACATCTCAACCTGGGGTACAACTCGCTCAGTAAGTTGCCTGCTGAAGTGTGGGCCCATCTCTTCGCAGGTCTTAGCAACTTGCGGAAGCTAGACCTGAGGTCCAACCAACTCGGCGAGTTGCCTTCTAAAGTCTGGTCCAAATCGTTTGCAGGGCTCAGCCACTTGCAGGAGCTTTGGTTGGGCGGAAACGATCTCAGTGAGTTGCATGCTGGAGTCTTCTCAGGTCTCAGCAGCTTGCAGAAGCTCATCCTGGAGTACAACTCGCTCACTCGGTTGCATGCTGGAGTCTTTTCAGGACTCAGAAATTTGCAACATCTCAACCTGGGGTACAACTCGCTCAGTAAGTTGCCTGCTGAAGTGTGGGCCCATCTCTTCGCAGGTCTTAGCAACTTGCGGAAGCTAGACCTGAGGTCCAACCAACTCGGCGAGTTGCCTTCTAAAGTCTGGTCCAAATCGTTTGCAGGGCTCAGCCACTTGCAGGAGCTTTACTTGGGCAAAACGATCTCAGTGAGTTGCATGCTGGAGTCTTTTCCGGGCTCCTCAACTTGCAGGATCTGGACTGAAGAGGAACAAGCTCAGCAAGTTGCCTGCTGAAGTGTGGCCCGATCTCTTCGCAGGTCTTAGCAACTTGCGGAAGCTCAACCTGAGGTCCAACAGGCTCGGCGAGTTGTCTTCGAAAGTCTGGTCCAAATCGTTTGCAGGGCTCAGCCACTTGCAGGAGCTTGACTTGGGCGGAAACGATCTCAGCAAGTTGCATGCTGGAGTCTTTTCAGGACTCAGTAACTTGCAGGAGCTCGACCTGAGTGACAACTCGCTCAGTGTAATGCCTGCTCAAGCCTTTTCAGGGCTCAGAAAGTTGCAAGATCTCATCCTGGGGTACAACTCGCTCAGTAAGTTGCCTGCTGAAGTGTGGCCCGATCTCTTCGCAGGTCTTAGCAACTTGTGGAAGCTCAACCTGAGGTCCAACAGGCTCGGCGAGTTGTCTTCGAAAGTCTGGTCCAAATCGTTTGCAGGGCTCAGCCACTTGCAGGAGCTTGACTTGGGCAGAAACGATCTCAGCAAGTTGCATGCTGAAGCCTTTTCCACGCTGGGCAACCTGCAAAAACTTGTCCTCGATAGCTGCAGGCTGAATGAGTTGCCTGTCGAAGTCTGGGCCAATCTGTTTGCAGGGCTCGACAACTTGCGGTTGCTCTTGCTGCAGTACAACAAACTCGGCGAATTACCCGCTGAAGTCTGGGTCAATATGTTTTCAGGGTTAGGAAGTCTGCAAAAGCTTTGGCTGTGGGGCAATGGTCTCAGCGAGTTGCCCGCAATTTGCTGGGATATAAAGTGTTTGAACTTCTGAGATGGTCAACTGAGATGTCCGGCTATGCGGATGAAGGATTCCTTGTTTGTTTCGGCGAAAATGATGGGGTGCTCTGCCATCTGACCGCTTGATAGGGTTGTGGGTAGGACTGGTTCCTGGGTATAGATCACACAGTCAAGCGACGAGATTTCACATTTCACCCACTTCCAACAACCCCTTTGAATCATTTTGAATCTAGTTGCAATGCATTTCATATGGTTTGTCCTCATGATATTTATTGCATTCTATTCTTGTTTCGTAATTTTTTGAGGCGTTTTGGGAGTAGCACCTGCATTGGGCGACCAAGGTCCAAGGTGGCAGTGGCACCTGGCGCGCAACTGGAGAGACGTTCGCAGACCGAGGCATCGGAATGTCCTGTCGAAGTCATCAAAAAGTTATCAAAGTCTTCAGTCGAAGTCTTCATGAAGCTTTCAGTTCTGGTGTGATCTCTGTAAGTTTTCAACCTCCATTGTTGGGATGTCTTCCCGGGTATTTGCGGCTTGCCTTTGCTTGGAAACTCGTTTTCAGTCTTTGTAGGGTTCAAGATTGGCCCTCTTGTGGTGAAAGGCTTCCTCCACCAAGAAAAAGACAGAGTCTGAAGGGAGCAGAACAGAAGTTGTTTCTTTGAAAAACGTGGAAAGAAGCGCTGAGATAGGTGTAACCACTGTGTCCACCGCATGAAGTGCTGAGCGCTGCCATTTGGCACGCTGCGCCTTGGACCAGGCACCAATGGCTCCAAATGGGAACATCATGCCGAGAGTTTTTGCGTTTCGACAAGTTGTGGGTGTATGACCATTCCTTTTAAGAACATGACAACATCATACAACATAACACGATATAACACCATTTGAATCCAGAATCTGACGCGTGGGGTCGATCCGCTGGGTCAAAATCCATGGCTTAGCTGGGAAAAAGGTGCCTGGACTTGACCCTGAAAGATCTCAAATGTTTTGGATTGTTTTGGTGCATCATTTGAGGAAAGCTTTGCAGATAGTAACAATTGCCAGGGTTTCTACCATGGAGGACGATGCAGCAAGGGTTAGGGTTTATCCATGTACACGCTTACAACATCTTATCAATGCCAGAACTTGTATGGAAGTTCAACAATGTTCAACACCTTCAAGTTGAGATGGTTTCCATTGTTTGCGATGTTTCGCCACTCAATGTGTGGACCGATGAAGGACAAGCATGTGACTATTCCGCAAGCTGCTCCATATTACGGCTTTTCACATGTGCACACACCATTACACAACTTGTGTGGGGATTCCGATATTTAGACACCAGTTATCTTGATAAAGGGCGCCTTATCCAAAAGTCCATAGTTTGCTGGGACTATGTCCCCGAAATGGGCTTCGTACGGGGAAAAAGATGAGGGCTTCATCCCAGCGCTGCAGGAAAAACTCACTGCAGCGGCTCGAACGCCCAGTACTGCGCGATTGACGAGTTTCGAGAGTCGTGGGGTGAGGACATGGCCAAGGATTTAGAGTTGATACTCGTACCAATTGACATACTACTAGTAACACGAATTTTTATCATGAAAACAACGGGATTATGACCTTGATTATCATTGGATATCATTGGCAGCAACATTTCTGGAACATCTGGAAGATTGCATACATTCCCATCATCTTTCAAGCACTATGCGGCCCATGGATTTTGGACAGGTCAACTGCATTGAGAGACAACGATTTTCCGAATTTCGGTTGAGGCTCGGTATTCCAAGAGAAACCCGGGTCCACCTTCCCTGTCCCAGAGAGATGTTGAGGCTCCGGGTGCAGGTGGCAAGTGCTTCCAACCCCAACAAGTATCCTTTGGTTGTCCTGGTGATAGGAAATCCTGCTTTTACAGTTGATTTTCCTATTGAAACATTGGGTTTTCACGGCCAGGCTACGCTCTTGGAGGATGTACATTTCAGAAGTTGGATTATAGATGATCATAGTATGACTTAACACAGAATTTCTTTTGTTTTGTCTCTTTAGGATCCTGTAGAATCCTTGAGGGTTCAGGGGTGAACCGAACTCAATGCCCATCATTTTGCTGTCAGTCGAAGAGCTGCAGGACTTCTCGGCCTTGGTCCTAGACGAGCGCGGAAACCAAGCATGAAATATTTTTGATGACAGATGTTCCATCGTCTATAGAATATATCTATGTATAGATATATAATATTAATGTATATAATACAATAGCAACTTGCTATTTGGACATAGCTTGCTTTCGAAGGAGTTCTGCGAAGTGGTTGTGGTTCTTTTCACCGTGTGGGCCGTGACTGCGTTGGTTCTTTTGGAGGTGCCCAATTTGTGTCTCCGTAGCTTCCTTTCAAGACGGACCTGCACCGCAGCTGCATTCTGCGGTACCACTTACCTTGACATGAAACCCTGGCCAGCCAAGCGCATTGAGAATAAAGCAGGCAAATCTCATGTTGCGCAAAAGAAAGTCAATGATAAATGATAAATAAACCATCGACAAATCTGTGTATTGTGACAGACTGCACCTAATTCGTGCCGCTGGACAGCGCAAAGGATTCGCTGCCTCATGTCGGTCTCTGTGGATATTCCTGGACATGGTCACTTTGATATCAAACTGACTGCTTCGAGCACCGCTGCTGACATTATTTTACTGCTACGTGAGCGTTTGCCAGACAGCCCATGGCATGGGAACAAGTTGCTGTCAAGTGGGGTCTGCCAGCTACGGTGCGATGACATTGTGGAGGCAACCCGCCACAGCACTTTAGTCTTGACAAACTACTCAGAGATCATCAACCAGGAGAGAAACCTGCAGCTTTGTTTCTTTTTCAATAGGTAATGCAGACCATGCCAAGTAGCAAATCACGATTAGAAACTAAATGCCAACAAGTACCAATTGCGACAAGTGCAGCAGTGTGATGGACCGATTCATTTTTTTGTTTTGGGATTCAGTGGTTTAAACGCATTTCGAACGTGGCTTGTGAGATCTACTTGATAGTGGGGGAACAGTCGGCCACTGAACAGGCGCCTTTGTGCATTGAGAACATGTGAAGCAAAGGCTCTATTGTCGATAGAATAAAGAGAAACTTCAGCGGCATATCCTTGAGACCATGTGAAAGAAAGGCAATATAACCAATAGGATCAAATCGAATAAAGAGAAACCGTATTTAAAAGTCAATCTTTTGAAATTCAGAGATTGCAGGCCCATGATTCCCATGATTGCACCTTTTGAGGGTACTGCATAATGCTTTTTGAATTCCATTCCAATTTCATTTGCTGCAATTGTTGGTGGACCCGTCGAAGGAGACTTTCTGCATCGAAGATACTGCAGAGCGAGGGATCACGCGCGAGCAATTGGCGAAGATCGTTGCAATGGCTGACAGATGGTGCGAGACTTTCGGAGAACAGTGTGGGACAAGGCTGCAGTTTGAGACCTTCAACTTGTATCATGCGAATCATTGGATCATCAAACTAGCCACCGAAGCCTGGATCTGTTGATGATGTGACAAATCATTTTCCAATTTGAGGAATCTCCTGTTTTTCTTTTTTAATTGGCCCCATTATGCAGAATCCCAGGACGGCTATGCAAAAAAGGGCTGCAGCATGGTAGAGCTCATGGCGATTCAAGTTCAGAGACCTCATTGGTTTGTGTCACATGCTTGGATCGAGCCTTGGATAGGCAAACCCTCAAGGTTGTTTGAGACCGTGCTATTGCATTGTCTGTCGGCAACAAGTTACTTTTTCCGCTAATAATTCACATTCCCCTAGAAGCCTTGGTTGAGTTTTGGACTTGTTTATTTCGGACCCTCAATAGGATGCTGTATCAAAAAGAAATGAACATCTAGCGTAATGATAGATGAAAGTCAATCTATTGCTTTGAAGCACGTCCAATTTTGTGTTGGGCAGATCTGTGAGGAGCCTGTTTGTAAGTTTCTGGCCTGCTTGGAGCAGCATGCTCTGGTGCGAGAACTCTCAAGCAGTACATTCTATTGGGTCTGTGCATATGCCAATAACCAGCACTGCGTGGAAGAGGATATCAAAAGCAACCCGCGCAGCACTTCATTCTACAGAGCTATGCAGATGTCTGAGGGAGTTTAGCCTCTTCTGCAGCTAACAGACCGGTGATGCTCTTGATTGACAATCAGGCTTTGGTGCGGCGGCTTCAGCGAGGCATTAGCACTGGCCGTTGGGAGGGTGACTTGCCGCTTTTCTGGCAGCGGATCAGCGGCTTATTGATTCAGGGCACTGTTTGCACTTGGATCCCTTCTCACAACAAGGTGCCTGACTGGACACCACCAGATGGTTGGATTGATGTTCATCTCTGCCGCGTTCTCAATGCGACAGCCGATGCTCAGGCAGGTGAGGTGTTGCGTGACTCACGCTCCATGATCGCTGCGGCTGTGCAGCGACATCAGCGAGCCGTGGCTTGGGCTGCAGCAGTTTGGCGTCTGCAGAGGCTACGGACTTTACCTTTTTGGCAAGTCGTACTTGATCAACAAACATTCCTTGCGGAATGCTAGCTGGCGCACTGTGTTTACTTCTTTTTTTCAGGCAGGTTTCGCTTCCTTTGAGTTTTGCTTGGAGAAGTATGGGAACTTGATTCTCGCAGATGGCATACTATGGCGTCTTAACTACTTCACTTCGGTGAGGAGCAGGTTGACGTCCGCTTACAACAACAACAAGGAACGCCTTTCGGCAGCTATCTGGACAACCTCCGCGCGGTGGCTGCGGGTCTATGCATTGCTGATGGGCCTTGGCAGTGCTTAGAAACGAATTGTTCAGATGTGGTGATTGCAAGTTTCGATTTGCTTCAGAAGATTTGGGCTGTGTCTTCAAAAGAGCGGAACGCATTGATGCATGCCATGCATGGCAATGGTGCAGGAAGCAGAGCAACAGCTCGCAAAAGGAAACAGAAACAAAGCAATAACCAAGCAAATGGCTTCAATTTGCAACAAGCAGGTGAGATTCTCAAACTACTCTCTCAGCTTTTCCAATTGTTGGGACTCGGGGGTGGCGGTGGGAATTTGCTTCAACAGCTCAGTGCTATGATGGGCCATGGCGGGTGTGCCAAACCCAAGAAGACTAAGAACAAGAACAAAAATAAACAGGGCGGTGATGGTGGTCTGGGGGATTACGGCCAAGGGGGTGGTTATTACCCTTCTTCTCCTCCTACTCAGCCTCCGCAGAATACTTCGAAACCACATCCTAAGCAAAAGGCAGACGTCCAAAAACAGCCACGCACAGAGCAGCAGCTCCACAAAACGCCCAAGACCTTTGCTGAAGTGGTTCGAGCCAACACTGCGTTTAAGCCGGTGTGGAGCCTGCGTCAGTCAGACTGGACGGGGCCCATTTTGGGCTTTGATGACTTTTGTGTCGCACTGGATAAGCCTGGAAATATTTCAGCTACAGTGCAAGTGAACTCGGAAGAGCAACTTGAGGAGTTGCAGGTTTTGCTGAAAGGCGACTCCCCTGATATCAAAAGAGAGCTCAACATCACAGCTGTGATGCTAGCGCCGAAAGAGGCCAAGCAGACTGAGGAGGATCGACCTTTGCGGATGGTGCCAGGAAAGATCTCGGGCAAGGTGCAGCCCAGGCAGGCGTTTGTGATCCCACTTCAAGGCCAAGGGCCATCACTCAAGAGAGCTGCCGTTGTGTCAGCGGCTCCTGCAGTGCAGCCTGAAACTGTTGTAGTGAGATTAAGTGTTGATGCAAAATATTTGCAAAACAACGAGTGGCAGAGCATCCAGGCCAAGCCAAAGGCAAACGCGCAGGCTTGGTTGCATCGGCATGTTCCAGAGCATGTTGCGGACAAAGTCTTTGATATGGGGGCGTTTCAGCAAGAAAGCATGAAAGGCGGAGGCAAGCCAGTGATCACTGGCCTTTTACGCATTGAGCGAAGTGCTGCCAAAGCTCTTCTAGGCTGCTCAGGCAAAAGTACCTGGTTTGTGGAGCCTTTGCAATGGAACAACTCCGTGATTGAATCTTGCGATGTTGAGTGTGTCAAGAAAAGTTCGGAACTTGATGGGCCCAGCTACTTGCAGAAGGTTCAGTCCATGGCTGGTGACCTGGGCATTGCCCGGGGATGGAATGGACTGGGAGTACGTAAGCCCAGGAGCGCCGAGCCTCCTCCTAAGGCCAGAGCTTGGCGCGTCACTGGTGTTCCGCGAGATTGGGCGGCTAGTACCTTGACTCAGGAACTTACACGTGCTGGCCTGACTGAACTCAAGGTGTTGTCCCGGAAAACTGTGGGCAAACAAGTGGAATGGTGGGTGCAGGCCAATGCTCAAAAGGATATGGATTTCATTGAAATTCAGGCTGGTGAAAAAGTCATTGTAGCTGTTGAAGCTCCAAGACAAAGACGGCAGAGAACACATACCATGAAACTGGCTAGCAATGGAAGGGTCAGTTATAACCAGAGCCATGCATGGCAGGCGATTGCCACGCCTGCTCCTCGCAAATCTTTCTACATGGGAACGCCAGTCAAAAAGCCAGTGACT